CATATAATTGAAATCATATGATATTTATCTTCCTCTGACTTCACTCAACAGAAAAACCTCTAGGTCCATCCATGTCATTGTAAACTGTGGGAGTTCATTATTTTAATGGCTGAGTAATATTCCATTGTATATCTGAACCATAATTTCTTTATCCCAGGTGTCTTTGGATGGGCATTTAGATTGCTTCCATATCTTGACTATTGTGAATATAGCTATAGTTGTAATTTTAATGTGGTCTTGAAAGGAGGCAAGCACAGTGTTTATATACTCCACCATCTTGTCTGGAACCCTCCATTTCGAGACTTTTTTTTTTATATGAAGTGAGATAAGGGTCCAATTTCATTTGTTTGTGGATAACCAATTTTCACACCAGCATTTATGGAAGATACTATCTTTTCTCCATTGTATGTCCTTGGCACCCTTATTGCAGATCAGTTGGTCCTACATGCATTGGTTTATCTTTTCTAAAAACCAATTCTTTCATTGATTTTTAAAAATCGTTTTCCTATTCTCTGTTTCTACACTGATCCTTATTATTTCTTTCTTTCTGCCAACTGGGACTAGCTTTTTCTTTCCTAATTCTTTGTGGTGTAAAGTTATGTTTATTTGAGATTTTTCAAAATAAAAAATGTATTGCTACAAACTTTCCTCTTAGTACTGTTTTTGCCGCCTCCCATAGTTTCAGTATGTTTTCATTTTCATTTGTTTTGAGATATTTTTTAATTTCCTTTTTGATTTCTTCATTGACCCAATAGTTGTTTGTTTCTTTAAATTCCCATGTATTTGTGAATTTTCCCATTTTCTCTTATTATTCATTTCTAGTTTCAGTCCATTGTAAACAGAAAAGATACTTGGAATGACTCTAATCTTTAATTTGTTAAGACTTATTGTGTAACGTGGCATGTAATTTATTTTAGAGAATGTTCCATGTGCACTTGAGAAGAATGAATGTTCTGTTGCTGTTAGTTGGAATGTTCTGTGTATGTCTTAAGTTTCCATTTGATTTACAGTGTTGTTCAGTTCTGTTTCCTTATTGATATTTTTGTCTAGATAATCTGTCCATTATAGAGATTTGAGTATTGAATTATCTTACTATCATTGTATTGCTGTCTATTTCTCTTTTCAGATCTGTCAGTGTTTGCTTTTTTTAAAAAAATTTACTTAAATTAGTTTCAAGTATACAGTACATTGATTAGACATCTATATAGTTCATAAAACGATTCCCCCAATTGCTCCCTCCCTCCCCTGGCCCTCCACTTAGCCATCATATTATTGCTAACTGTATTCCCTGTGCCGTGCTCCCCTTCCCCGTGACCAACTATCAACTACTAATTTGTACTTCTTCAACCCTTCACCCCATTCTCCAGCCCCCCAACCCCCCTCCCCTCTGTCTGTCACCAAATTGTCCACTATATTTGTGAGTCTGTTTTTGATTAGTTTGTTCTTTTTGTTCCTTAGATTCCACATATACGTGAAATCATATGGTATTTATCTTTGTCTGACTTATTTCATTCAGCATAATAACCTCTAGGTCCATCCATGTCATTGCAAATGGTAGGATTTCCTATTTTTTTAATCTCTGAGTAATATTCCATTGTATATACGAACCATAATTTCTTTATCCAATTGCTGTTGATGGGCATTTAGGTTGCTTCCATATCTTGGCTTTTGTAAATTGTGCTGCCATGAATATTGGGATGCATAGATCTTTACTAATTATTGTTTTGGTTTTCTTTGGATAAATACCCAGAAGTACAATTGCTGGGTCAAAAGGAATATCCATTTTTAATTTTTTGAGAAACCTCCATACTGTTTTCCATAGTGGCTGCACCAATTTGCAATCCCACCAACAGTGTATAAGGGTTCCCTTTTCTCCGTATCCTTGCCAGCACTTGCTGTTTTTGATTTATTGATGATAGCTATTCTGATAGGTGTGAGGTGATATCTCATTGTGGTTTTAATTTGTATTTCTCTGATGATTAGCGACCTTGAGCATCTTTTCATATGTCTGTTAGCCATTTGTATTTCCTCTTTGGAGAAGTATCTGTTCAGGTCTTCTGCCCATTGATGTTTGCTTTTTATATTAATAAATGTTTATGTATTTCTAGGTTTATATTTGATGTTGCATGCATATTTATTTATAATTGTTATACCTTCCTGGTGAATTGATTTTTATCATTATATAATGATGTCTGCCTTGTGACAGTTTTTGACTTAAAGATTATTTTGTCTGATATAGTGACTCTTGTTCTCTTTTGATTACCATTTGCATGGAATATCTTACTCCACCCCTTTCAATTTTAGCCTATGTGTGTCCTTAAATCTAAAGTGAGTCTCTTGTAGACAGTGTATAAGTTGAGTCTTATTTTTAATCCATTCAGTAACTGTATGTCTTTTGGTTGAGGAGTTTAGTCCACTTACATTTAAAGTAATTATTGACAGAAAAGGACTGTTGACATTTTCTTATTTTCTGTTTTGTAGTTCTCTTGTTTCTCTTTTTTGCTTGCCTTTATTGTTTGATATACTTTTTTTCCTAGTTACCACTTGGAGTGCAGCATCAAATATTTTATGGTTATAAGTTTGTTTAAAGCTAATACAACTTCAACTGCACTCATAAAGTGCACACTCTACTTCTTCCCTCACATACTTTATGAATTGATGCCAGATTTTACTTTTTTCTATTTTGTGTTTCCATTAAAAAATTTCAGTGGTTATAGTTATTCTTACTAATTTTGCCTATATCACTAGTGTTAAAAGTGACTTACATGTCTTTATATTTTCTTTAGCAGTGAGAGTTATTTTTCATGTTATCTATCATTTTTTTCATTTCAACTTGGATTGAGTATGATAAACTCTGTCAGCTTTTGTTTAGGAAGATCTTTATCTCTTTCATTCTTGAAGGACAATTTTTCCAGGTAAAGGGTTGGTTACTGGAACCTTATTAGTTTCCTTTGGTGGTATGTTTACCTTATTCTTTGTGATCTTCGTAACCTAGAATTGGTGTCTGTGTATTTGAAGGAATAGGAACTGCTTCCATTTTTTACAGATTGTTTTTAGCAGGTAAAGACCTATTCCTGTGGGGTACCCAGATGGGTGGGCTTGCCTCCAGGACTGCAGTTGAGCAGGGTCATGGGGCTGCTTCCAGCTTCACAGTGTATCCATGGTTGGCTGGCCTGTTACTGGGGGCATCCATAACTGTAGCTTGTGCCAAGTCCTCAGGTGGATGAGGCTACTGTTGGGTCCCCAGTTGGCTAGCTTATTACTTGGGTTGCAGATCAGTGTGTCTCCTCCTAGTTCTCTGGGTGTATGAGACTGCCTCTAGGATCATGGTTGAGTATTTGGAGCTGGTCATGGGGTTGCTTCTAGGGCCAGAGTTGGGTCTGCAGTCAATGGGGCTGTTATTGGGGTCATAGATGGTGTGGTTCCTGCCAAATCCGCAGTACTAGTAGTATGACCATGAATGAGTGGGGCTGGAGCCATGTCCATAGGGTGATGGAGCTGTTCCTGGGTTTGTAGCCAGGTCTGTATTCAGCAGGCCTGCTACCAAGGCATGAGCATGCCTTCTCAAAGGGTTTTTCCTTGGCCTTGGGCTCCATTGGGGTGTTGCAACTTTCTACTTGGGTTTTGATGTTCCCATAGTGGAACTTTTCTTCACAGATGGTTGCCAAATGAGTATTTCTATGGAGAATTGAGGGCTGGGGGGTCTCCTACACTGTCATCTTACTAGTAACCACCAGCTTTTAATTTAAACTTAGTGCAGCACCTTGTTCGATATTATTAACTCTATACTTCAAATTTAAGGGAAGACAAACACAGAGGGAAAATACAATTTTTTTTCCTACTGAGAATCATGTATCTTCAAACGGTTAATGCCAGAAATATCACTTTAAATTGTTTATTCAAGTGCCCATGCTTTATGAGAATCATGCCATTGAAATTGTGATTTCACAGGAAAGAATAACTGAAGAGTTAAAGTGACAGTATTTTGAGTCAGAGGTGGGACTGTATATAGGCTTTCTGACATACAGTTGGTAGACCTCAGTTTGTTAGGAAAAATGTTTGTAACTGCCGTATGCTTGGCACTATGCAATACTTCTTTAAAAATTCTTTTTCTCTCCTATCCACTTCCCTCAGATGTGAAGTTGCTCTTGCACATTTTCTTCTATAGGCTGTCTAGAAGGAAAACTTCATATAAAACCTTTTAATGCCACATGCTTCTCTTGTCCTTCTCTGTATCATCCTTTCTTTCAAATTTTGCATTTCAAGGTCTCTAAGACTTAGTTCAGCAGAATTAGCCCACTGTCAGGGAAAGGTAAGAAAATGAGTAGGCCAAGCCTAGAGTCATCTTTAGGATACAGTGAAAAGGGAACATAGTGAGAACTTTAAACTATTAATTACTTTTGTTCCTTCACAGTCAGTCATCAGTGTGTTATTTATGCTTCCTACTTCCATAATTTCTTATGCATATTAAAATTGTACTTTGAAGGCCACTAACTCAGCTGAACATCTTGGCTGGAAGTGACTGCTCTGTTAGTTTGTCAGGCTTCTTTTGGTACCATTTTTAGGAAGAATATTACATGGCTGCCTTATAGAACTTATTATGTACATTTTTTTCTTACAGAATTGGATAATAACCATGCCATTTTTCTCACTGACCTTCAGAGCCTGGTTTCTCAAACTAATCTCTAGGCTAGTAGCATACATATCACTTTAGAGCTTATTAGAAATTCAGGATCATGGGCTTCAGCCAGATGTACTGAATGAGTATCAACATTTTAACAAGATCCTCACATTTATTTGTATGCTCATTAAAATTAAGCCTTTATTACAGTCAAGTGACTTGGTATTTTATACTATACCAACCAAGGGCAGTTTTGTAACACACTAACTAGAAATGCCCAGAGCTTTCTTATTTTTAATCATTTACTGAAAGCTGTTGCCAGCTATAACATTGTTTTCTGTTATACTTTAAGTACTTTGGGTACCTTGGATACCATTACCTTTTTTATTAAAGGTCTTACCCATCAAAGATTCAGCACAGATGTCTTTTTCAAGTTCATTTCTTCTGTCAAATACTTGTCTGTTGTATAAAGATTTTTTTTTAAATCAGAAAAAAGGACAAAAAAATTATGTGGTTAAATATGTTATAGATTATTGAATCTTTCCAAACTTCTGAACTGCATTTAAAAATGTAGCTTAAAATTTACTTTGGAACCTTTCAACAATATCATTTAAATATCATAATGTTAAAAACACTGAAAACTGCTTTTAATTTTCCTACCATTAAATATTTTACATTTTGAAGAGCAATAAATTTAACTTTAATATACAAATAAAATATTTCACATACACAGCTTCAAAAGGAGTATCATGGAAACAAATGCGATGCTTTGAAGTCCTGAGAGTGAATGGTAAAAGTTTTTAATTAAAATAAATTTTACTTTCCTAAGTTTAAGTATGATCTATTAGTGCAGAAAAATTCAAACAGAAAAAGAGCATCAACATAATCTAGATATTGAGAGTTCTCATCTGGATAGTTAGCTCCTATACTTGTTATTATGCATCTTTTTAACCAAGTAAACCTGAGATAATATCATATTATAAAATTTTATGTAACTCATACTTTTTGGTTTTATAAATTTTATTTAAATCATTACACATTAAAATGGACTTTTAAAGGTGTAGATTCTATGAATTTTAAAAGCAGTATAGACTCATTACCACCACAATCAGAATAGAAACTAGTTTCATCATGCCAAAAAAAAAACCTCTCTCATACTTTATAATCACACCTTCCCTACCAAGACCCCTGGTAACCACCGATTGCTTCTCTATAACTATAGTTTCGACTTCAAGAATGTTACATAATTTGAATCATATAGTATAAAGTTTTGTGACTGGCTTCTGTCACTCATTATAATGCCCCTGATATTCATCCAAGATGTTACATGTATTAATAGTTTGTTTTTCTAAATTGCTGAAGAGTATTTCATCCTATAGATGTACCAGTTTGTTTATTCACCTGCTGAAGGATATTTGTTTTCTCAGCTTTGGGCAATTATGAGTAAAATGGCTATAAAAATTCATGTGCAAGTTTTTGTGTGACATAAGTTTTCATTTCTCTAGGGTAAAACTTCAAGAATAGCATTTCTGGCTTATATGAAAAATATATGTCTGACGTTATAGGAAACTTCTAAATTGTTTCCTGGGATGGTTCTACCATCAATTCTCAGCAATGTATGAGAGTTCCAGTTGCTCTGCCTTCTGACAAGTGCTTGCTGTTGTCAGTAACTTTTTATCATAGACCTTATAATAGGTGTGCAGGGGTTTCTCATTATGGGTTTTTTTTTTTTGACAGCAAGCTGGAAATTGAACAGTTTTATTACTGCATCAATCTACAACTCTAAATGCTTCTATGCAAACCAATGACTAACCAAGTAAAAAAATTCAAAAATTTAAACAGAAGCATAAAACATGTCTAAGAAAAGAGCAGCTATAATTTTAACAAATGTACATGTCTTCAACAGTGTCTTTTATTTTTCCTAAGAAACTTTGGTCTACATACTAACTTTTTAAAATTTAATTTTATTTATATTAGTTTTAGGTGTACAGTACAATGGTTAGACATTTATATAATTTATAAAGCAATTCCTCCAATTATTCTAGCACACATCTGGCAGTACACACAACTATTACAAAAATACTGACTATATTCCCTATCCTGTACTCTACCTCCTTATGGCTGTTCTGTATATACTAATTTGTACTTCTTCATCCCTTCACCTTTTGCACTTATTCCTCTCCAAACTCTCGAACCCTCTGGCAATCACCAGTTTTTTCTCTGTATCTGTGAGTCTGTTTTCATTTAGTTTGTTCATTTCTTTTGTTCCTTAGATACTGCATATAAGAGAAATCATATAGCATTTATCTTTCTCTGTCTGACTTATTTCACTCAGCACAATACCCTCTAGGTCCATCCATATCATTGCAAATGATAAGATTTCATTTTTTAATGGCTGAGTAATATTCCATTGTATATATGTACCATAACTTCTTTATCTAGTCATTTATTGATGGACACTTAGGTTGCTTCCATATCTTGGCTATTGTAAATAGTGCTGCTGTGAACATAAGGGTGCATAGATCTTTACAAACTGGTGTTTTGGTTTTCTTTGGATAAATACCCAGAAGTGCAATTTCTGGGTCAAAAGATAATTCTATTTTTAATTTTTTGAAGAATTTCCAAACTATTTTCCATAGTGACTGTACTAATTTGCAATCCCACCAACAGTGTACTTGGGTTCCTTTTTCTCCACATCCTTGCCAACACTTAATGTTTTTTGATTAATTGATGATAGCCAGCTTTCAGGTGTGAGGCGAAAACACACTGTGGTTTTAATTTACATTTCTCTGATGATTCATTACCTTGAGCGTCTTTTCATATGTCTATTAGCCATCTGTATGACTTCTTTGGAGAAATGTCTATTTAGGTCCTCTGCCCATCTTTTAATTGGATTGTTTGTTTTTTGTTGTTGTTGTAAGCGTTCTTTATAGATTTTTGGACATTAACCCCATGTCAGATATATCATAGGCAAATATCTTCTCCCATTCAGTAGGTTTTTTTCATTTTGTTAATGGTTTTCTTTGCTGTGCAAAAGATTTTTAGTTTGCTGTAGTCCCATTTGTTTATTTTTTTGTTTCCCTTGTCCGAGAAGAGATTTCAGAAAAAATTACCAATAGCAATATCAGAGAGTTTATTGCCTGTGTTTTCTTCTAGAAGTTTTATGGTTTCAGGTCTTATGTTTAAGTCTTTGATCCGTTTTAAGTTTATTCTTGTGTGTGTGGTGAAGCAGGTGGTACAGTTTCATTTTTTTTGCATGTATCTGTTCAGTTTTCCCAACACCATTTACTGAGTAGATTGTCTTTACCCTATTGTATATTCTTGCCTCCTCTGCCATAGATTAAATGACCATATAGGTGTGGATTTATTTGTAGGCTCTCTGTTCCATTGATCTATGTGTCTTTTTATGCCAGTACTATGCTGTTTTGGTTACTGTAGCCTTGTAGTATAGTTGATATCAGGTTATATGATACCTCCAACATTGTTCTTTCTCAGATTGCTGTGGCTATTTGCAATCTTTTATGGTTCCATATAAATTTTTAGATTATTTGTTCTAGCTCTCTGAAAAATGCATTGGTATTTTGATGGAGATTGCATTGAATCTATAGATTGCTTTGGGTATGGCCATTTTAATGATGTTGATTATTCCTACTCATGAGCATGGTATATGTTTCCATTTATTTGTGTCTTCAGTTTCTTTTTTCAGTGACTTATAATTTTACAAGAACAGGTCTTTTACTTCCTTGGTTAATTTGATTCCTAAGTATTATATTGTTTTTGATGCAACTGTAAATAGGATTGTTTTCTTAATTTCTTTTTCTGATAGTTCATCATTGGTGTATAAAAATGCAACTGATTTCTGAATATTAATTTTGTAGCCTGCTACTTTACTGAATTCATTTCTCAGTTATAACAGTTCTTTTGATGGAATCTTTAGGGTTCTTCATATATAGTATCATGTCTTTGGCAAATAATGACAGTTTTACTTCCTCCTTTCTAATTTGGATGCCTTTTATTTCTTTTTCTTTTCTGATTGCTATAGCTAGGGCTTCTAATATTATGCTGAATAAAAGTGTTGAAAGTGAACATCCTTGTATTGTTCCTGATCTTAAGGAAAATGCTTTTAGCTGTTCTCCATTGAGTATGATGTTAGCTGGAGGTTTGTCATACATGGCCTTTATTATGTTCAGGCATGGTTCCTCTGTTCCTACTTTGCTGATAGTTTTCCTTATAGATGGATGCTGGATTTTGTTGAATGATTTTTCTGAATCTATTGATATGATCATATGGTTTTTATCTTTCAATTTGTGAATGTGGTGTATCACAGTAATTGATTTGCAGATAGTGAACTAAACTTGCACTCCAAGAATAAATCCAACTTGATCATGGTATATGATATTTTTAATGTATTGTTGAATTTGGTTTGTGTGTGTGTGTGTGTGTGTGTGTGTGTGTGTGTGTGTGTGTATAGTAAATATACATATATTTATTTTAGAGTCAAAAAGAATACGTGTTTTAATCTTTATTTTCTAATAGAGGTTGAGCACAATTGATGTTATTTTTCTCTAAATGTTTGGTAGAGTTCGCTAGTGAAACTATCTGGACCTGCAGATGTCTTTTTCAGAGTTTTTTGAATTAGGTTAGTCACTTTTATGATAACAATGTGATAGACATTTCTATGTATATTTTACAAAAATGAAATTGAAAGTCATGACATTTAAAGCCTTTGAGACATACTGCCAAAATTACTTTCTGAAGAATTTATTCTGATTTACAAAATCTGGTCATCAGAAAGAATATTGACCACAATGTATTGAAACACATTAAACATCATTTGATAATTCATATGATCCTCTACTACTTCTTCCTCACCCCTCCACCCCCCCCAAAATAGTAACCATTGCAGGTCGATTGCTTAATTTATGACTTTGAAAAGTGATAACTCTGGTGAAGTAAGTATTTATTCTGCCTTTCAGAATAATCGAGTAGGTGGTGAGGAAACTGTTTTTCTGAATATAAGAATTCCAGTTTATAAATGCAGAAAGAATGGCAGATTTTAAAAAATCACCATCTCACAAATCCTAATTTAATAAAATCTAGGCAGCTTTCATCAGTGAATTCCAAAACATAAGGTAAAAGGTTGATGGTGAATTCCATTGATTAAGCTTAGCATCACTAAAAGACATTATATACCTCAGTATGATGTAATACGAAGCACACAACACCATCTGTTGTTTTATTTGGGAGACAAAGCAACAATTTCCCCAAATTTGTTTATAGGAAAATATATAAGCAAAACAAAATAATCAATTTTTAAATATAGGGAATTTATAGATAATTGTTCTTCTTTATTCTAGATATGCAGTATCTCTGGGATGGGACGTGCAAAGCTTGATGTACATTGAACCATAGGTAATAGGTTAATAGGTTGATCTGTAAGGAAAAAGTATTACTTGGCA